CTCTTTCACTAATTCCCCGTTCCGCGCTCCACTCTGATCCTCCTGTGCTCTTACCTGAGCTCAGTGGAACCGAGAACAGCTCAGGACCACAGGCAACAGTAACAAGGAGAGAAGTTGGACTTGGTGTTTTTTCAGTTAGCGTTAGCTCCGGTGTTTACTCTGATGCTGGACCACTTTGTTCTGATGACAGACGGCGGTTCTGTCTTTTGTGTGCTGCGTGTTCCGACCTGACCCAGACTTCCTCTATCTGCTGCTTGACATCAGCACAAAGCTGATGCTGTGAAATTGAATTCAGGAGCAGAGTCTCCAGCAGGAGGCCCAGATATTAGCTGAGCAGCAGACGCCTGTTATTGTCGTCGTCTGAGACGAGTCAGTCCAGGTCCACGCTCCTCTTCACCTCAGAACCTGTCAGTACCAACAGGTACCGAGTTCCCAGACAGACTTTGAATGTTGAACAGCCATAAAATAAAAACCTCAGTTTGAAGTTTTAGATTTTCAAAAATGAATTATTTGTCATTTTATGTGAAGTTACTGATGATTTTCTCTGATTATATACATTCCTGTTCGATAGACTGCTGCCACACAGGTGTTGCATTGTGGGTAACATGTTGGGTTCATGGTCTGTTCTGCTGTTCAAATGTCTCCACACTGACCAGTTATTATCCTCTCTGGGTCTCTGGCCCATTTATCTGATGACCGCGGGCTGGGCCACTCTGAGGTCGTGTCTGGGCTGCATGTGGCCCTTGGGCCACTGTTTGAATAGCCAAGCTGAAGTCTGTTTCACGTGGAATGTTCACCGGGAGTGAGCGATACAAGAACAGACATTTACACTTCATCATTTGTCAGATTAATGAAGGTCAAAAACGTGGGCGTGGTCAAATATCAATAGGACCATCAATCCTGGTCCCTGGACCATTAACATCGTGGAAAACCTGGGCACAGATATTGAGATTTCAATGCCAGCACTTCAGGAAGTCTGATTCCATTTCCTCCCGTCTTTGCTTCTTTTCTTCTTCACGGCTCCCGTGCTGCTATTTTCACAGTGATGAAGGTAAAGTGAAGGAAAATTAACAAAGGGAAGAAATTGTCAAAGGGACAAAAAAGCAGCGTGTGACTCATCCAACCTCCTGCTATTGTACCCAGTGTTAGAGAAACACGTCATTTAGAACAGTCTCTTTTTTATTTATGATTGTTTTTTGTTTTTTTTGCCCTCTGTGATATATTTCAGATATATTTCTAACGGTACACTTTGTTCATTTGATTTTTTTTTTTCTGTTTTATATTCTTTTTATTCCACACTGATCTCTGATCCCACACTGTTGAAATGCAACAGACAAACAGCTGAAGCACATGTCAGTGCTTCTTATCATCAGGTTTGACCAACAAAGCTTTTAAAAAGTTCCTGAAATAGACATTTGTAAAATATATTTTCAACTTTTTTTCAGGACATTTTTAAGACAGAATTCTCCTGTCCTGAGGATTATCTAAGGAAATTGGTGATTTATGAGTTTGAATTTGACCCTGTGACCTCTGTGACCTCTGTCCCAGCAGGTGAGCTGATGGTCAGGTGTGAATCATGATGTCGATGTGTGTGTGAGTGAGGAGCAGGAGTGACTCCAGGTGTGTCTCCTCTGTAGCTGCCTCTCTGCAGGTCCGTGTCGCTCAGAGGGTGCGGCAGACGGCAGCTGGAAACAGTGTCGTCCAAATGAGAGCAGAGAAAGCGAAGTCACCTCCACTGACGCTGCTGAATTCACAGCCTCCTGGAGGTGTTCTGCCTGGAATCAGCATGATAATCTGACAATTAGGAGAGTGATTGAAGAGAGCCATGGGGGGGAGGGGGATGGGGGGGGGGTAAAGTGAAACCACTGCAACCATATTTTTCATCCTGACACTCAGCCTGACCCAGGTGCAGTCATTTC